CCAGGAGGCGGAGGTTGCAGTGAGCCGAGATCGCGCCATTGCACTCCAGCCTGGGTAACAAGAGCGAAACTCCGTCTCAAAAAAAAAAAAAAAAATAAGTGATATGATTTGCAAATTTAGAAATCTATAAAAGTTTCAAGACGAATGTTCTATTAAGTCTACTTATATAGCTTTCTTCATAATCCTTCTTATAACCACCACAGGATAAAGCAAAAAGCACCAACAAAAAGGCAGTGCTAAAATGAAAAAAAATTATATTCTCTAAAAGTAAAAATTAATGCAAATGCTTTACAGGTAACAGCTATTCAAGTATCTGCTGGCTGACTACCATGTCGTGACACTTTAAGAAGCTGCCAAGGGCCAGGCGCGGTGGCTCAAGCCTGTAATCCCAACACTTTGAGAGACTGAGGCGGGCGGATCACTGAGGTGAGGAGTTCGAGACCAGCCTGGCCAACATGATGAAACCCCGTCTCTACTAAAATTACAAAAAATTAGCTGGGGGTGGTGGCAGACACCTGTAATCTCAGCTACTTGGGTGGCTGAGGCAGGAGAATCACTTGAACCCGGGCAGTAGAGATTGCAGTGATCTGAGATTGTGCCACTGTACCCCAGCCTGGGCAACAGCATGAGACTCAGTCTCCAATAAAAAAAAAAAAAAAGGAGAAGCTACTAAGGGGAAAACCAGGGCTTCAAATCACCAGTTTTATAATCCAGTCCCGCAGTCTTGGTATAATCCAATGTTAAACTAAGGATGATCCTACTACTTGCACAAGCACATTTTCTATTCAGAAAAAGTGTACTAAGTGGCTGGCCTCTGTTTCTTTATTTTTTTGAGGAGGAAAGGGAGTAGGCAAGAAACATTTTAATTCCATTTCTTATCAAATATATCCACATCATCTCATCCCACCCATAGACACACAATCCACCAATCAGAAACTCATTTCCAATAGCAGGTTCAATTATAGATTGCATAGACCTCAAGGGAGAATTAAGCCTTTCGGTCATTCAGATTAGTGGAACAGACTTTCATTCCACTATGTAATCCTCGAGGTCTAATATCTCAGTTTAAAACCCCTGAGTAGGCTGGATGCGGTGGCTCATGCATGTAGTCCTGCACACCTGTAGCCCCAGCTACTTGGGAGGCTGAGGCAGGAGAATCGCTTGAACCTGGGAGGCAGAGGATGCAGTGAGCTGAGATTACACCACTGTACTCCAGCCTGGGCGACAGAGTAAGACTCTGAGTAGCTGGGACACTCTGGTCACGTGCCACCACGCCCAGCTAATTTTTCTATTTTTAGTAGAGACGGGGTTTCACCATGTTGACCAGGCTGTTCTCAAACTTTGACCTCAAATTATCCACGTGCCTCGGCCTCCCAAAGTGCTGGGATTACAGGCATGAGCACCGTGCCCCGCCTTGTTTCTTTATTCTTAATTCCTTCTCTAAAGCAGATCATGTTCTATAAATTAATTTTGGTGTGAAATCTCATGATTTGTGGTCACCCTAAACAGCCACTCTAAATTTCAGAGCCAGAAAACAAATGATGAAAAGATTTTTGAAGGCTCCATTCCTACTTATGCTTCGATACGTCCTGATGAGGATTTAAAACATAAAAGTCAATTCTACAGCTAGTTTATCTCTACCAATCCCCACCATACCTTGCTAGTGCAGTTATCCTACAGGTGAAAGCATTTAAAAGAGAAAACAAGAACACAGGATAAGCCTCCAAGTAGAAATTATAATTTGTTCAAATTTTATATCAGAGGTTATAATTTCTCCAAGGCAAGCAAGAAAGCATTTCATTCTTCTTAGCAATTAAAATGAGGTATTAAACTAAACTAGAACACACAGTGACTAATTTAAGTAATGTAGATAATTAAGCCCCTAATTAAAAAAATGTTTTAGCTTTAGTGTTCTATTGTTAAGGAATAGGAAAGAATAAAACTACTGGGGAAAATAAATACGACTGGCCCTCAAATCAACTGCATTCACTAAGCCAAACTGTTCAAAATACTCCAAAAGATACTGCATCCTACTCAGAAAAGAATGCATAGGAAAAGAAGAGACAATAAATATGCTTGATTTTTGTGAGACATAAAATAAGACTCAAAAAATGAGTCAAACATTAAGTAAATGTTGGCTCTAGTTTTTATAGATCTATATTTACTTTTGTTCTCCTTAATCTCTTTTACTTTCAGTACAAAGTCAAACTGTGTTATACCTAGTATCTTATCTGAAAAGCTCCAAAGGAGAAAGGCGAGATCACATAAAGGGCCACAGAAGGACAACCTTCACAGACAATAATAAAATATCACCAAGTATATTTGCTGAATAGACACAACTCCCTTTATAATGAAGTATAAAACTTACCACCTCGGCCAAGGCTGAAATAACTTTGCCCAAAGTTGTAAGAGACTTATTAATATTTGCTCCTTCCTAAAATAAATACCAAAAATGAAAGAATTATGAAGAATTTCTACTACTGCCATATAATACAGAACATAAAACATAAAATATGATTTGCCATATGCTAGCATCTCTTTATTACTACAAGTTCTAAAAACGACCTTTAGTCCTCAATCTGTCCTTTTCTCCACTTGATAATAACATGCTGAGACCACAAGCCTAACTCACAGTCCTAAAGTATCTTCACGATGTTTATGCTCCAAAAGCTTACAGATGTGTGTAGCCTTCTTCCCTCAACTCATCGACATGAAATTTCTGTTCTTCTCACATCTGAATCTCGTATATCCTTTTCCCATGGCCATCTCTTAATTCCATCTAGCCAAATGCTGCCTGTTCCTCAAAATGCAACTCAACTTTCACTCGATGACATTCTCCCTAACTATTTAGTTCGATAACTCATTCTTCCATTGAAGTTACAGATCAGGAGTCTGGAAAATTTTTCCATAAAAGGACAGACACAAATTATTTTAGGTTTTTTGAGCCATATGGTCTCTGTTACAACACTGCCATTGTAGTGCAAAAGCAGCCATAGACAATACATAAACAAATGTATGAAGCTGTGTTTCAATAACATTTTACTTACAAAAATAGCTAGTGGGCTGAATTTGGCCCACTAGCCACACTTTGCTGTCACATGGTACAGAACATTTATTGATCAGGCCATTTACTTGCTAAAATAAATACCTTTAATCGAGTTCCTTTGGCACCAGTTGAATCAGCTCGTTCACTTCCTGCTAGATCCACCAAGCTTATTTTACTGACCTGATAAAGAAAAATAACATGGGGGCAATTCAAACATAAGGAAGATAGAAGTACAAAACATTTAGAGACAGAATGCTTTTTAAAGGATTAAGGTATAGAGAAAATTAAAAGTATTAGAGCTCTTAAATATGACACAAAAAGATGAAGACAACATATATCAGAGTCAGTTTAAATAGCATGCACAGAAGGTGCAGTGGCGCACGGCTGGAGTCCCAGCTACTTGGGAAGCTTCTTTGAGCCCAGGAGTTCAAAGCTGTCTATTGTACCCCAGCCTGACAACATTGGAGAATCCTGTGTCTCTACAAAAAAAATTTTTAATTAAAAACAAAAAGAGCATGCACAAAATTCATAGCAATTATCATAGTTCAAGAAAAGTATCTTTATGGTAAACATGACATATTTTACCAGAGTATGTTATAAAAATTTATAAAACTCATCAACTCAATAAATGGCATACTAAAAATGAAGCTTTAAGCAACTGGAACTCTTACATATTGCTGGTGGGAATATAAAATGGTACAATCACTTTGGAAAATAATTTGACATTTCTTAAGAAGCTACAATAAGACTCAATCATCCTACTCCTAAGTATTTACCAAGAGAACAAAAACAAATGTCCACACAAAGACTTGTACACAAATGTTCACAGCAGCTTCGTCAAAAACTGCAAACAGTTTAAAAGCCCATCAACAGCTGAAGTAATAAACTGTGGTGTATCTGTACAGTGCAATACTCATCAGCAATGAAAAGGAACTACTGATAAACACAAGAGCATAAATGAATCTCAAAATCACTATGCTAAGTAAGACTCCAGGCAAAAAATCAGTACATACTCTATGATTCCATTTACATAAAATTCTAGAAAATGTAAACTAATATATAGTGACAAAAGGCAGGTCCTGAATTGCCTAGGGATTGCAATAGAAGAAGGGATAGAGAAAGCCAGAGAGGAAGTATGAAGCAACTTTTGAGAATAATAAAAATTCTTGGCTGGGCGTGGTGGCTCATGCCTATAATCCCAGCACTTTGGGAGGCCGAGGCGGGTGGATCACTTGAGGTCAGGAATTCGAAACCAGCCTGTCCAATATGGCGAAACCCCGTCTCTATAAAAAAAAATATATTCTCTGTATTGTGGCACTAGTTTCACAGGTATATAAATATGTCAAAACTGACTAAATTTTATGCTTTACGTATGTGCACTTTACTGTATACTTCAATAATACCTCAATAAACTTGTAAAAAAATAAAGCTTCAGGAAAGTTTAGACAAAAGTATCCAAAAGGGATTATCAGGAAAGCTATGATTATGTGATTAACATTAATTTTGTAGATTCGACATCATGAAGGAAGGGCAAAACATACTTCCATATACAGTACAATGTTCTTTGCTGCCATTCAGATAAATACTAACAAATAAATAGCATCAATATTATAACCTCTGGCTAAGCAAGTTATTTGATCATCTATATAAGGAGTATTTCTTTTTTTTTTTTTTTT